ACATATTTTTGCTCCACGATACGAACAAAAACTCACCATACGACGTTACATTAGTTCGCATTTTTCGTTTGTTTTTCTTACTACAGTTATTTTTTTAATGTATTACTTGGCTTTAATTTGAGCATGTTTTTCGCGTTGGAACGAATTATTTGGTTTTACATGTAATCGTATGGGAAACGATGATCCACCTTACGACATTTTCATGATACGATCTCAGTTTCGGAACGGATTAATTTCGTATCCTGAGGTACCACTGTATTTTGCCCGATGTCATATGGCAGTTGTTGTAGCTTTATTATAATGTATCAGGTTTTCATTAAATTGTTTAAACTTGAATTTATTTTTACCATTTCTGTTTGTCTATTGGATTCTCTTCTATCAAACCACATTCTGTCATGCTTTTTTTATGTCTATTTTACTAAGTACTTCTGGATCTTCCTCTTTCTCTCTTTCTTTCTATTTCCCATTCTATTAGTGTTTGTGATAGTTATCCTTTGTTCATACATCTTACATGTTCACACTACTATTGGTGCTGTCTTTTCTCATATTGTGTTTTTGTCTCTTCTCTGATTTCTTCATTCTTACTTCCCCTTCTTGCCTCTCTATTCCAGAAATCCATCTCTACTGCTAGTAGCTTATTTACCTGTGTTTTGTTTGCCATCCAGCACCATACACGACTATACTTTAAAGGATAGTGCTGTAGATCATATATAAATTTATTATTCAGATTCTTCTTCTTCTTTTTAGCCCTAAGCCCTTCGGAGGGCGTGGTGATATTACAAATTGATGGCTTTAATTGTATCTTCTGTTCAATTTCACTTGAAATACCTTTCCACTGTTCACAGTGTGTGCCATTTGGATGGCTTCATACATTGTCCTGTAATCGTCATTACTTGGTTTGCCCACTTAATCCGACATCTGTCTCTAGGGCATTTGCCATTGATCTTCCCTTCTAGAATTTGTATCTCAAATTCATTTTTGTGTCTGGAGATATGTTCCAAGAGGCAAAGGTAGGATTGGTATATTTTAGTGGCAGTTTGTGATTTTCAGTTGATTTAGGATGGAGCAATTTGTTCAGAATTCTTCTATATGTCCATATTTCAAAGGAATCAAGTTTCTTCCGAGAATTGGCATTTATGGTCCAGGTTTCTGAGGCATAAGTGGCAATAAGGAAAATAAGCATTCTTATGAGTTTTAGTGTATTAAAAATAGCAATTTAAGAATCTTTCCAAATTCAACTCTGCAAGAGCAAGAGTTAACAAAACTATGTCTATTCTTCAGATTAATAAATATTAATTTAAAATATATTATCATATAATAAATAATAATAAATTTAACAAAGAATTAGAATTCTTCAAATTAGAAGTTAAGACTATTTACAAAAATATTTAATTTTTAAGTCTATCCATTAATCCTTTTAACACAACCACAGAAGTACCCATTACATTGGTTTGAAGAAATAACTTCATTAAAAATCAAATAACAATAGGTAAAATTTCACATTATTAAAACTGATCAAATGTCAGCATTTTGTTTGAGGATCTGATGCTTTAACATTAAAAACAATAAGTAAATCTTCTCACACTACTATCAATTTTACCTATTGTTATTTGTTTTTAATGAAGTTATTTCTTCAAACTAATGTAACGAGTACTTCTGTGGTTGTGTTAAAAGGATTAATGGATAGACTTAAAACTTAAATATTTTTGTAAATAGTCTTAACTTCTAATTTGAAGAAAATATCCTGAGTTCATCATGAAAATTTTAACAAAGAACTAAATTAAATGATTTAATATTTCTTGATTTTAATGAATTATTTTAAGATGTGATTATTTATTAAATTATCATTTATATTTCAGTGTAATCACATTGTAAGAAAGCAATATTTACGACTTCGGAGTCAATTACTTTCACAAAGATATGGAGTTTCTTTGGATCAGGGGTAAAGAGATTTTTCTGTAAAATTCTATAATTTAATATTACTGCATTTATTTTTATTTAGTTATTTTATTTACTTTATTTCTATATTGATTATATTAATTTTCACCAAAACAAGAAATTACTTTTCCTGGATAAAAACAATAACCCATTTAAAATATGTTGAAAGATAAATAACAATATACAAAATTTGCACTGAATATAACAGTTTGTTAAAATGAGATTAAAAAAATTAAAATCCAAGAATAAAAAAAGAAATCTTTATTTTGAGAGTATGGAAAATAGATATTAAAATATAAGCATATTTGGTAAAACTAAATCTAAAAAACGTGTCAACAAGACTTGGACAATTATGGAGAGAATATATTATCTAGGGACAAAACACTGCTGAAATATTTATAATATAAAATACGATCAAAGTATTTAATGCAATAGTTAAAAGAAGATAATCCTAAATGAATCCTGTCATCGGTAACAAGGAAATTGCTTAATTTGTTAAAAGTACATAATTTTATTTAAAGTAAAGAAACTCTATACAATAATGACACTGAAACCATTGTCCAAACAGTTTTATTTAAATTAAATTCATTCAGTTATTAACAGTTTTAATAAATACTGTAGTACATTTAAGCTGCTTATAACTACTTTTTAAAGAAATCTTGAAAATGAAAAACTATATTACCATATTTATGCAAAATATCTATATAAAAATTAACACTATCTATAACGTAGTGTGTATATAGGGTGTATCAAAAGTTCCTTTACTCAATCTTTCAAATTTTTTTATTAATAAGACATGACTTGCACACACAATGTAAATGAGCAAAGCATGTAGAAAAACTGTACTCAGAAATTTAGACTAGATGCCAAAAGTGTCTGCCTTCCATCTAGAGGCAGAGATACACTCCATGACATTTTATTTTTTCCTATTTGTACTTGATAAACATTGTTGCCATTATATTTGTTATGGTTTATGTAAATTTTATCCTTTAGATACCTTCATAAAAATAAATCTGGTGAAGTTAAATCTGGAAATTGAGTTGGCCACAAATCCTTAGAAATGATGTGATGATTAAAAAACAGATCCAGGTTTCACAAAACCTTTGAACAAATTCATAAACCAGTTGTTGTTAAACTCGTTGCTTTACTAAGCGCTTTGCTATTGTTGCAGTTAAACTGTTGTTAAACTCTCCGCTGCACTCCGCTTAACGTAAAGCAAATGCTCGAGTTTGAGGATATTTTTAAAGCAGTTGAAGGAGATGGTTTTTCTGCTACAGCAAAATGGTGGAAGAATTCGCATTTATTATCAAAAGCAATAAATTTAAAGTTCTTGTAGACAAGAAGACAGCTTTTAAGATTTAAAAAAAAACGGTAAATATTAATTATATAATTTTAAAATTATTTTATAAATATTTGTTAGTTTATTTAATAACTTTGAATAGATTTTTGAGTTGTCTGAAATAAATAATGTTCTACGTATAAAGTAAAATACTTCAAATATTGCAATATTTATTGGAAATGCCTGAATTATAAATATGTTGGTTTTATGTTTTAAAAAAAAACTTATTTTAAGCATATAATTTAGGGGAGAGTATCCAGAGCAATACATGTTCCACAATGAAAGAAATCATTTTAAAATTTCTACATTCAATTTAAACCTATATCATACTTCAATTTTTAATATTTAATTACTTTGTTATATGGACTTAAATATTTGTATTAAAATATTATGTACTGATATATACTTTAAAATGTTTTAATCTTTGGAAATCTCTATACTTAAAATGATCTTTTTTGTAATTTTTAATTTTAGATCCTAAATTTGCTCAGCAATATGGATTAGTACTTGTAAATCAAATAAAGACAAAATCTAAAGAACATATGCTGGTGGAGTCCATTAAAAATTTACAAAATAATACATATTCAGGTATTAAAAGAAATGTGACTGTCAGAATTACTTTACAGTGTAATTTATATAATTTTTATTTTAAAACAGTTTCAAGCACTTCAGGCATTTGGAGTGAAGTGAGACCTCTTTCAGATGGTATGTTTAATTAAAATATACTTTTAATTCTACTTATTTTTATAAATGTATAAAAATAATTTATCATTACAAGAAAATATCGTATTGTATAAATGTAAGAAAATATTGCAAAATTTCATAGTTAAATGGACAGTCTTGACAATTGTGGGATAATAGTTATACAATGATTGGACATGATTAAAAATGTTTCAAAATGTTCCTAAAGATAAAGACTTAAATTTGATATATTGTTTTTCAGATTTACTTATGTCAAATGGCAAGTGGACTGATGCTATGACCAGGCTTTTAATAAGTATCAGATTGGAAATGGAGGAGGAATTTCAGAAATCAATAGCCAAAAACAAACTGTGGGTGAAGGTTTCTGATCATTTAGCAAAAGAGGGATATACAATATCTGGTACAGAGTGCAATAAAAAGTGGCAAAACCTGTTATCCACATATAGAAGAAACAAAGAAAAGGTGAAAAGTAAAACTGGGAAAGGGGCTATAACCTGGCCCTACTTTGATCTTTTCAATGCAGTAATAGGTTGTAAGTCTGATGTTACTTCTCCAGAAACTTCAATAAGTTCACTACCTGAAAAAAATTAGTGCTGCTTCAAGCACTCCTTCTCCAGTACGAGGGCTGTTCGGAAAGTTCGCGGCCTCACATAGAAAAACAAACAAAATAGTGTTAAAACTTTTTTATTTTTCAATGTAATCTCCTCTGTTAGCAATGCACTTATTCCAGCGATGTTCTAGCTTTTTTATGCCATCACAATAGGTCGATTTGTCAAGGTATGCAAAATACTCGTTCACTTCAGAGATGACTTCGTCATTTGAGTGGAATCTCTTTCCAGCCAAGAATTTTTTTAGGTTTGGAAAAAGGTGGAAGTCACTGGGGGCCAAATCAGGTGAGTACGGTGGATGTGGAACTAATTGGAAGCGAAGTTCGTTTATCTTTTGTTCAGTGATTCTGGCGGAATGTGCAGGTGCATTATCGTGGTGGAACAGAACTTTTTTCTTCTTCAAGTGTGGCCTCTTTTCTTCGATTTCTTTCTTCAGTTTTTCCAAAAGTTCACAGTAATAGACAGCATTAATGGTCTTTCCTCTTTCTAGGTAGTCAATAAAGATGATGCCTTTAGCATCCCAAAAAACCGAGGCCATCACTTTACCCGCTGATGGAACTGTCTTTGCCTTCTTTGGTGGTGGCGAACTGTGGTGTTTCCATTGCTTCGACTGTTCTTTTGTTTCAGGAGTGTAGTAATGGATCCACGTTTCGTCAGTAGTCACAAACCGACGCAAGAAATCCTGTGGGTTTTTCTGGTAGAAGTCCAAACACTCCTTTGACATCAAAGTGCGAACACGTTTTTGCTCGGCGGTCAGCAGATGCGGCACCCACCTTGCTGAGACCTTCGTCATACCCAAATCTTCGGTTAGGATGTGGTGCACTCGGTCGACAGAGATGCCTGTTGTCTCAGCTATCTCACGCGTTTTCAAACGGCGATCTGCTAATACCAAATCGTGAACTTTGTCGATGTTTTCTTCAGTGACAGCAGTTGACGGCCGTCCGCTGCGAGGGTCATCTTCCACACTTTCTCTGCCAGATTTAAAAAGGGCTGTCCATTTTTTCACAGTGGTGTACGAAGGAGCAGACTCTCCTAAAACTTCATCCATGTCAGCTTTGATTTGAGATGGGGTCAACCCTTTTTTCGTCAGGTATTTTATGACCGCACGAGTCTCCGTCTTCTCCATTTTTGACAAAGCATGTGCACACTGACTATCTGCTAAGCTGTCGTGGCAAAACTTTTTGACAAATCAAGCGGAAATTGGTATCGTATCTTTAGCAAAGATGGCTGAATTATTCCCGCCAAAAATTAAATTGATCGCAGCGCCGCATATAGGCAAGGCCGCGAACTTTCCGAACAGCCCTCGTAGAGTTGTTTTCAACAAGCAGCAGCACATTGTACTTTAGAAAATACCAAAAAGAAAAGCAGATGACCCACCACTGTGGTTTTCACAGTATCTGGAGAAGCACGAAAAAATTGAAAAAGAGAGAGAAGAAAGATAAAACCAATGATGGGAAGAATTTAAAGAAATTGAAGGAAAAAGGCTACAACAAGAAAAGGAAAACAATGAAGAAAGAAGGAAAATGATGCAATCATTTATAGATATTTTGGAAAACTTATAAAAAAAAAAAACAGACTGTAGGACTACCTACTAGCCATTTATATTTTTACTTGATTTTATTAAAGATTTGTTGTAAAACTAATAATAAACAATTAAGTTTGTATTTCAGAAGAATTGTTTGTTTTTTATTTTTACAAACCCATTTTTATACATTTGATATGAAATACTGGCAAACATATTGTAATGCTTTAACGTTCCACCTCTTCAGTTAGTTAGTGATGCAAATAAATACAATTAGAATTCTATACTTTTCAAAATGAGTTTTTTACCTTGTTCAAGCACAGAATTTTCAAATGAGAAATACAGACAGCCTACGCTGATACAAAATGCTTTAAAAAAATCTTAATACTGTTTTCATACTTAAAAAGAGAAGAGAGACAATAAAATTAAAAGAAATTCAAATGTGTCAACAGGAAAAGTAACATCTTATGAAATCTTTTATAAATGTTCAGTATTAGAAAAATTTGTATAAAAAATACTTCACAGGAAACCTTGTACTCTTTGCAGAAACATAGAATTCATGTAACTAAATTACATTGAAACATTTCATTTCAAACATGTCTATCTTGTTACAAATTTATATAAAAAGTGCAAAACTATTATTTATTCTGGCAATTTTTTTACTTTATTTTTCCAGTATTAAATATATTTTGAACAAACTATGGTACAGATCATCCTTTCTCAAAGTGGGCGATAACGTCTCCTTTTGGGCACTGGAGGCTTTCAGAGGGCAGTAGAAGGCTCAGTGATTAAATATGACTTTTATTTCTTCTCATTGAAACATTCTTTTTTCTCAGAAATAGGATATGGATCACACACTATCTATCCTATCCATATAATGATACATGTTTAAACATTATATTTGCAATAACTGTTTTTAAGATATGCAACAGATGGTAATGTAAAAAGGTAAGTTAAAAAATATGGGGGCACTAGTTTTTTTTTAATCTCAAAGTGGGCGATGGTCGAAATAAGTTTGAGAACCTATCCATTGATTATCCTATATCTGTTTCAATGGTTTTATTTATTACTACTACAAGTAGATATACCTTTTCACCCCTCATTTGCACAATGTTAGTTAAGTAAATCCATTTAACACAAGACCAAAGTGTTTAAAAACTCAAACACACATCAATAAAAATATTAATGATTTTATTTTAAACATTTTAATTGGTTGTTACATAAACAATGCTGGTTATTTTTGCTGGCTTTGGCCAATTACTACTACAGCAAATTAAAGAACAAATATCACAAAATTATTCTAACTGCTGATACAAATAATTTGCAGTAATATCTCTCTTCCATATTGATGGAATTCAATCCAATAATTCATTCAATAATTCTCTTTTCCAATAATCTCTCTTCCATATTGATTGATCTCATAATCAGCCAAGTTGTTCACATTTTGTATGCAATTGTTGTCCTTTTCAGATGCTTTGTCATTCTGTAAAACACAAAAGTTATGAAGAATGCATGCTGAAATGATCATTTTTGGGATATTGGACTGCTGTGTCACATGCAGCAGTTTTAATTGCCTGAACTGGCCAAAAAGATCTCTGTAGGCTTGTTCAATAACCACATGTGAAGAACTTAAAAATTGTTCAACAAGTCTCTTGTTGAACAATTTTTCTTTCCTATTTAAGTGCCCACTATCCTTGTATGGCACCATTAAATATGTTGATAAAGAATATGCAGAGTCTCCAAGAAGATGGCAGTTCTTGGGAATGGAAACAGTATCATTTGAAATATGTTTATATAAAGGGCTGTTCTTTCAAACACATGCATCATGACTTGAGCCAGGCCAACCAGCAGCGGCGGCCTTATCCATTGCGAGGCTCTGGGTGGCAGATCTTTGCGAGGCCCTTGTCCTTTGTGCAAAGTATGTGAATTGAAATAGTAGGCACTTATTAATATTAATATATACTGTACTATAAATTAAATTTATTTTATTGTTATAACTAATAGCCAGGGATAAAATAAAAAGTTTTAAATATCAACTTTTTTCTACTTGGTTGTTGTGCGAGGCCCCGGGCGATTGCCCTGCTCGCCATCCCCTAAGGCCGCCACTGCCAACCAGCATAGATATCAATGAATACTTTTCTGCTGTTACAAACACCCTGTAAACTTACAGCAGTGAGTTGCTTTCTGCAGTAATATTCCTCCTTATGGTGTTTACCTAAAGTAATTTCAACTAACGTTCCATCTATACATCCAAAAACATTCGGAAAACTTTTCCATCCACGCAATTCCGAAAACTTTCTTACAATGTCGGCTGCCTGTTGTCCAGTTGGTCACTGAATAAAATATTTTCTCATTTTATTTAGTCCTGTACAAAATGTAATGAACAGTCAATGTGCGTGTCCTCTTTCTAACCCAAATCTGTCGGCGATACCATGAAGCGATTCTTGGTTTTCCAGTGTCTACAACGATAATAGTAACATTTTTTCTTTATCAGAATAATATAAAGATGGTCTACCAGTGTTTGACTTCTTTTGCAGGTTTATATTTAGTAAAATAAATTCTACAGTTTTGCATTTAAGATGAAAATATGCTTTGAAGTCAATATCATTGTACCGTGGAATGATTTCTTCAATGTAATCCATGATTTTTACCTTTTTTATTGGAGATTCATTGATTACCATAAGAATTTTCTCCTCCTCCACTTCTCTTGGCCTTTTATTGAAAAAAGTCGAAAATAACAGCATTGATGATTTCATAGAATTAGATTTAAAATTAAAAATTTCACAAAATGCATAAACTGCACTCCAAATGGCTGCCATTTCGATGGCTGCAACACTGGTGTTGTTAAACCACATGTTTTACGTCATACAGCAGTGCTGAAGCAGCAATGCTGACTTTAACAACCACCAGAAAGTAGGCTTATTTGGTGATACATCATTGGAAAAGTTTTTGTTCAAAATCTTCACACATTATTAGCAAGATTTTGTGTTGAAATAAGCCTTTCAAAAGTGTAATTTTTTGTTTTAAATTAAGCACCATGTTTGACATAATCATGTTTCCTGCTTACTCCACTCATATGAATTTGTTCAAAACACTTTTAAGATTGTCTCAAATCTAAATTAGTAATTCTTTTTTTTTTGTCATTTTTTTTAGCATATAAAGAAATAATTTTCTAAACTTGAATTAGGGAACTTTTGGTGTACACCATGTATTTTCTGATTCAAAACAATTTTCAAAATTTAAATTATTTAAATTTCTCAATGTAAAATTTTCTATCTGCATACACACTTGATATTCATTGAAAAAATTGTAAATTTTTTAAAAAATCCATTACAATTTAGAAAATAGATTAAAAGATTCAATAAAAGATTTAATAAAAACCTAATAATTTTACCTGTAATGTTTTGACATCTTTAAATCAAATTCCTCAACATGCAAATTTATATCAAATACAAACTTTGAAAAATAAACGAAATACAGTTAAATTAAAACATTCTTTAAATCTTCCTTTTCATTTACAATTAAGAATTTAGAAATATAGAATAAGAAAGAGTATCATTGATTTGTCACATTTTTTCCTATCAATTTGTGATGAGCAAGTTTCATGTTTTGCTGCCATGTAAATGCTGTTAAAACAGTTCTGGCAATACTTCATCAGCATAGATTTAAATGAAGGAATTTTTTTAAATGTATATCATTACAGTTTTTCTTCTTGGTTGTTTGGATTTGAGAATAGTTTTGTTATTGATTTTATAAAAAATTGTTGATTTGGTTGCCCTATCTACATTAAAAATTTCATCAGTTATAAATTTGTTTATTAATACAGAAAGTCTCTAATAGATGAATAAATGTTTGCATTTTATCTATGTAGCTTAATGGCTATAGATTAGAATGGTTTATATTGAAATGAAAATTTATAGATAAAATAGGAGCTAAAGGTTTATGGAAAATGCTAAATTTTATTGAAGATGATGATATATATTGGATGATGATACTCATCAATCATAAGAGTACATTCCAGAGAAATGCCATGGTTAATAATACTGTGGTTGATGGACAAAAAGGGGTAATTACTTGTCATTTAATTAATAATTAGTAGCATTAATATAGCCTGATATAATCTGGCAATCGTTTAGCTTTAGTAACTTTTTAAAAAAATCTTAGTATTGATTTTCTTTTCAAATTTTATTTTTTTTTTTGCTTTTCAAATTTTTCTGAATTTTTTTATATATCATTCTTTATTATTTTCTTTTTAACCATTCTGTAAATAAAGTAGTTGTAACTTAACTTCTCCTCTGCGGGTGCTAAAAAGGCCTTTTTTCTGTAGCTATTGTAAGTTTTGTCAGGCCCTAAAAGTGGATAATCAGATGAATACAGGGCCTGACAGACTGCTTGGGAAAATTTTTGTGAAAGTGTTCATTCAGAGTGACAGGATGTTGCTTTAACTACCTCACCCATCTTCTATATGTAAAATAAACAAAAATAATAATAAAGAAAAATTATGTTGAATTGTAAAAACTCATTAATTTTCATTAAAAATTATAAATTTTAAAATGTTTGTCCATTATAAAAGTGATATCCTTTTAAATTGTCATAATGCAATATTTAAGTTTAAATTCTGGAATTAAATAATTTATCATATATAATTAGATGAGGTAAGAAGCTTGAAAATGTTTCTTAAAATAAATTTTGAACTGTATCCAACAAAAAATTATTTTTAATTTTTTTTCAATGATGCAGACTTTAAGAATGATTTTTATTGAATTAAAATATGATAAGTTTCATTTATGTATTTTTAATTTAAAAATACATAAATGAAACTTATAAATTGATACAATTTCTTAATTTACATATATATGTATTAATCACATTTTATATTTATATTTTAGAAGTATAAGAAGTAGAAGTTTAGGAGCAAGAAGTAATAGTAGAATAACTTTAGAGGTAATAGATTACATGCTCTTTCATCTGAACTTAGAATGATAATTTTTTATGATAAATAACTGTAAATATTAAATTATAAGAAAATATTATTTTTTTCTGTATTTTAAAAGTGTTCATTGATTTTGATTTAAAAAATTTAAAGAATTTAATCTTTTTTCCAATGAAAATGGAGAAATTTTCAAGTTTGAGAATGAGATCTTGAAATTATTTGTATTTTTACTTGATAAAAGAATATTTAATTTTATACAGATTTAGATGATATTTTATAATCATGTAAATTTATTAGGTTAAACTGTCTAATGAATAGTAAAAAAAATATTGATAATTTGGAAGTTTTATTGAATTGAAAAATTTTAAATAAGCAGAAAGAAAGGCTAAGTGAAACAGTAGTCTAACTCTGTTGTTTATTATTTATTTATTTGTAAAGTTGAGTACTGTAAAGGTGATGTAAACTATATTTTCATATGTTACTGTTAACTTATTTTGTTTTCATCAATACTTAATCAGAGCCCTAGTAATCTTTTATTCTATTTACAGACAGTATATATGGTCTGGCATATGTAAATTATAATAATTACTTGTACTGTTTAACTTGTGCAAAATTTCTAGAATTGTAATAATGATATTAATTGGTAATTTATAATTTAATTTAATATTTATTCTTTTAAATTGTTGTTTGTTAATTTATATATATTTTCTTTTAAAATAAATGTCATATAATATTTTATTACTCTGCATTTAAATAATTTCAAAATTCAAATCCCTTATTGTTTAGAATATTAAGATTTCATATTAGATTCGTAAACTGTATTTGTTCTGTTTGTTTTTCTTTTATTATCTGAAGAAGATGGTAATTTGTCATCTTTGAAGCTGCTTGTAATTATATTTAGTTTTAAACTTAATATTTTCTTTTCTTTATCTCTTTCAACACCATAAACTTTTTAACTCACATTAGTAATACATGTGCATTTAATTAACATAAGGTTTTCTCTATTTGTTTTGATGTGTGTATTTTGAGTATTAGTAGTCTGTGTGGGATCTAAGTCTGTATAGTGAATATTTCATAGAATAATTTGTTTGTGTGTTAATTTATTGCATGTCTATAGTGTGTCACTAGTTGTAACTGTTTTTATGTTTTGTTAGTGCGTGTAATCTTGTGTACATTTTTGTAAGTGACTTTTGTTGAAGTATTGTCAATGAGTGTCTGATCTAGTGTTTAATGTTTTTGTGTTAATGTCTTGTTTTGCAACTTGTTTGATATGTTCAAGCATACTTTGTAAAATAAGGTTGTTGTGTATAATTGGTATTTTCTGCTCAACAACAATTGCTCTGTGCGATTTTTGTGTGAATTTGTCATGTAGTGTCTGCAAAATTAAAAGCAGACATGCTATAATATCTGCTTTTAATTTTGTGATGACTAGGTACAAATGGTGAATTCATTCCTGTGCTTGAGTCTACTTCAACCGTTGGCTTGGTTTTTCAGTGTTATTAGTCAGTGGTTGGATTGCTGATGAAAACACTTTAGATGTGTTAGTGTTATCCATTGTATGTGAGTGAGATGGTGAATGTGTTTGTGATGTAGTAGTTGTACTTTGACTAGTGCACTGGTGGTCAAGGATGACTATGGCAGATTTTTCAAAACAAGTATTTACTAACCCACAAATCCAGATCTTGTTAACCTGGACAACATTCAAGCCAGTATAATGCATGAATGTTTCACAATTGTTTTTGTTATCTTCACAGAAGTGGGTGAGCTTTATACAGGGTGCGACGCCAAAATCTGGACAAATTACACGTTTTTTCCAAACATATTTTTTTATTGCAAAAACAAAAAGGTTTACAAATTTTTTTTAACCACATTGTTTGTAAGGCTATAAAGAATATGTAAGCCCGACGATTTGAGGGCGTAAATTTTTGAGTTTTACTGTTAGATGAATTTTTCGAAGGAAGTGAAAACATCAGTTGATGAGAAAAAAATTATTGCACGTTCTCACAGAAATAGATTGGATGTCAACTCTTAACATCAACAAGTTAGGAAGGAAGAAGGGCACATCATCGCACGCCTGTGAATTGGTTATCGTAATGACAAACAACCAGTTGGCTCAATGCCAACAATGACTGTATAAAAACGATCGTCTCAGGAAGTTCAAGGTGATTGTCCCAGAAAGTTCTTGGTACAAGTGTCTCCCATCCTGGTCCTGTCTGAGAAGAAGCAGGTAGAAGACATAGGACTGTTCCAGCTTTCATATTCCAAAATGATTGTCGCATACAGTCATCCAACAGCATGTTGAGGTATATTTGAGGGCAGAAACCTTTGTAAACTCTCTCTCTCACTCTAGGGATTAGACACATGGCATAGTGATTAGTTTGATTGCCTTTACTGATAGATTTATATGTTATCTGCATTTTAATCATTTAATTCTTTATGTATGCTCCTGTAAATTAGATTAGTATATAATAAACTCCTTATTTGTTTGTTTAACCTGTGAACCTGTCTATCATTGCTTGCGCAGACACCTGTCGACTTTCTCAACCCCCTCGCCACTCAATAAAAAGCCATCCAGTGACGCTGTGAGTGGATCTCACCGATCTGACGATTAGAGGGCTCTGTCTCCTCGTCCATATTCTCACAAATACATATACTCAATATATCCCCCTCCTGCTTGAATGACCGCATCCATTCTTGGTCTGAAGCATGCGTAGGTGCACTTAATGTGTCATAACATATCAGTGAATTCCGCATCAATAGCGGCTCTCAATGATGCGATGTTTGGATGTCTGGCCTTGTTTGTGACCTTTTCAACTACACTCCATACATAGAAGTCCAAAGGATTCAAATCTGGGCTGTTGGGAGGCCAGAATTCTTTCGACCAAAACATGTTGACATTGTCCATCAACCAATTTTGCACCAAATGACTTGTGTGGGTGGGTGCACTGTCCAGCTGGAAAACATACAGCTTTCCAGACAACACAGTTTCCATCCACAGCTTCACTACATTTGTCAGAACATGCAAGTAAATTTCTTTTGTGACATTTTCCCCTTTGTTATAGAAATATAGTGGCATGACATCACTATCACTGGACATAACACCTAGCACGTGAACATTTGCCGGAAATTTCGTTCTTGCAATAATGGGGACATTTTCAGGGTCGTGGGTGAGCCAGCAGTCATTCCTTTGATTGATTTTCACATCGACAGTAAAAATTTTCTTGTCAGAAAAAATTCTGAGTCATCCGGCAGCATTGTGTCTTAAGGAACACAAAAGCAAGTTATAGCATTCAACTCACTTTGTCCTCGCAGCTTTGGAAAGCATCTGTCTCACTTAATTGTGTAAGACTTGTAGCAGAGGTCCTCCTTGATGATTCTATGCATAGTTTTCTTGCTCACACCAACAGCCAATGACAATTTTCGGATTGACTGACCTGGATCCTCAAAAATCAACTCCTGAGCCCATTGAATGATTTCGGGCATCCCGACAATACATTTCTTCAAGTGAGTTTTCCTCGCCAGTGTTGTAAAACCTTCATTGGACTTCTCCGACTCCTTCTACTTTGTGATGACATCATGCACAGTTGATTTTGGGTACCCGAAGAACTGAATGATTTCTGTTGCCGAGTGCCCAGTGCAAACACTTTTGATAATCGTGGCTCTTCACTTATACTCCACACCTGGTTTTAACATTGAGACTTTCGAGGTTATGATGGTTTAGTACACGTGTTAAGCTATTTGAACGCCAAACATGACATCTACCAGTGGTAAAGAATGGTGGGAATTTGAAATTGAATTTTGTCCAGATTTTGGTGCCACATTATGTATATCTAAAGCCAAGTATTTATAGCTCAGCTGGTTTTTGACATGGGTAACAGACACTGTTTAGTAGTTGTCTGTTTTAGTTGAGATGCTGCTTATACTCTTTGTTTCATTTCTCTCTGTAGACTCTACTGACATGCATAGTCCTACAAAATTTATGCTCTGTCTGGCATTGTTTTATGATTTGTTGGAATTACTGAGTTCTCTCACCTCAAGACATGGACTAGTGAGAGAGTTGTTATTATTATTGATAAACATTTTAGAAAGATTCTTACAAACATTCTGTTCTATTAACTAATACAGTAGACCCCCCTATAAAATGGGTTCATATAGTTCGGATTCCTATATGACGGCAAAAAAATTGCGACCGTATTTATAGAAACATGCTAAAAAAACTCTTATAATTCAGTAAAACGTCATTGCCGACTCGTGTCACGACAGGATTGGTTGAATCTAGACCAATAGCGGATATCGTACATTCCCAAAAAATTATATGTATTTTGGAAATGTTGAGTCAAATTAGTCTAGAACCAATTAATTTTATGGAAGAAAACCTTTCAAACAGCCGTAGTCCGTAAACTGCATACATGCCGGGCTGTGATTGGCTCATGTATTTAAGGACTCGTAGAACATCAATTTCATAAAGAACGGAACATATCTACCATGTTATAGAGGGGTCGACTGTACTGTACATATATTAGTTAATAGAACAAAATGTTATATATTAGGTCTACTGGAAAGTTCTGTCCGTTTCAGTTACAACAAGTTTCAACAACCATGCGCATATTCATTTGATGCATATTTGGCTTTCTCTTTTTGTCACTGAATGTATACATACTGACCTAACAAATGAACCAAAATGAAGATGATTCATGTTAGTATTAAGGGAGATGTGATCGTATACACATGGCTACTGATAAAGTTCATTTACGTCACTGTATTTTGTACGAATTCCAACAAGAAAGAAATACTGCAGAAGCATGTAGAAATTTATTGAAACTGTTTGGTGAAGGTACAGTTTCTGATAGAACATGCAGAAGATAATTTGAAAAATTTCAAATAGGTGATTTCGACCTTTCTGATAAGGCATGCTCTGGGCGACCATCTCTGATCGACAATGATATTGTCAAGATCATGTTAGAGCAAAATCCTTTTTTGACAACATCGGAGATTGTGGAAAAGCTTGACTCAGCTCAACAAACCATTTCAAATCATATTTGGAAACTAGGATTGATGTGGAAATATTCGAGATGGGTGCCACATGAGTTAAGTGAGAAGAATCTGAATGATCAAGTCATCGTATGCACATCTCTGCTTGTACGGAACAAAATCGAACCTTTCTTGGACCGGATGATAACTGGGGATGAAAAGTGGATTACCTATGAAAACATCGTAAGGAAAAAGGCAAATTGTGAATCTGGAAAACCTGCTTCTCCACCTCTAAACTGAAGTTGAGCGTGAATAACAGAATGTTGTTATATGGTGGGACATTTGAGGACTAATACATTATGAGCTGTTAAAACTGAACGAAAAGCTAATTCAGAGAGGTACTGCCAGCAATTGGATAATTTAAAAACAGCACTCCAAGAAAACAGGCCAGCAATGTTCAATAGGAAGGACATCCATCATATTGCTTCATGATAATGCCAGGCCACATACTGCTTTGGGGACTCATCAGAAACTTGCAGAGCTTGGCTAGGAAATTCTGTTGTATCCACCATACTCCCTGGATCTAGCACCCTCCGATTATCACTTGTTTCTGTCCTTACAAAATTTTTTGCAGCGCAAAAAATTCAAAAATGAAGATGATGTCAGACAAGCACAGGTTCAATTTTTTGCCTCTAGGGATAAGGCATTTTTTAAAAATGGGATATACAAATTGTCATCATGCTGGCAAGAAGTCATAAATGATGATGGAAATTATATTATTCAATAAAGTTTATTCAAGGTATGAAAAATTTATTATTTTGTTTTATTCTAAAAACGGACAGAACTTTCCAGTAGACCTTTTAAATATATATATATATATATAATTATTCTGAAACACACATTATATTATTTTAAAGTTACAATTATTTATTTATTGAATGATAAAATACAAAATTATGTTTGGAATGTAATAATAGCAATAATGATGATGATATGGATGANTTTAAACATATGTAAAACATCAAGCGTGAAAGAGAAGAAAATAAAATACAAAATTATGTTTGGAATGTAATAATAGCAATAATGATGATGATATGGATGATGATGTAGATGTATGAATTATATATTCCTGATAATAAAAACATTTTAAATATTACAAATTGCAGAATAGTGATTCATTTGATGGCCGTAATGTTTCACAAAGTGAAAACAGAAGAATGTCACAGAAAACTTTAGTTCATCCTATAGAAGAAAATTTAGTTCCTACTCATGCTGCTGAAGCAAGTCGGTGTGTTATATATTTCATTTTTATTCTTTAATGTTGTAATATTTTGCTGCATTTACTAATATCATTTTAAAAATGACTGATTATAAAAAATGATGATAAAGAAGATATATTAGAAATTCTTAACAGTTTTGTTAGTGAATAAAGATAGAGTTTGTATAAGTTTTCTTTACTAAATAGAAATTATACATTCCCTAAACATTTGTATTTATAACAAATTCATCAGAAATATTGTAATGTGCATAAAAAAATTTGAGCTATTTTCTTAAGATTTATTTTATATGAAATTATCATAAAAAGTATGTAGGATGTTGATCACAAAACTTTCCACATAAAACTGGATGCAACAAAAAACATGTACATCATTGTACAATTTATTAATTTTATATGGAGAACACATTTAAATTTCAGCGTTATTTCCATGTTTGGATTGTGTAATGTTTGCAATGGAATTCTTACATTGACCTGATGCTGGTCTATTATTAGGTCAAAAGCATTTGTCTAATATATTAAACATTTTTTTGTGATGCAGAATACAGTAGAGCGTCGTTTATCCGAAACGTCGGTTATCCGAAAGAATTCCAGTTGGCAAATTTAAATTTTTGCTAGTGCTGTGGTGCTGCAATCTTTGGCTATGTCTTGGGCTACTCCAATATTTTTTATGTTTGTGTATGTGTTTTAGCTGGCAGCACTGGCACTTTTGTGTGATGTTTTTCTGAGGACTGTATGTCATGCTGAATCGAACGTTTTTGATACTAGATTAACTCCTAAAGTATTTTTTTTGTTTTTATGTTTTCAATATATTTATTTTGTTTGTAAAAAATAAAGAAATAATTTTTAATGATACAATAGCCACGATTATTATTTTAAAAAGTTTATGTTAGGCTTAACATCAACGAAAATTCAACGCGAAGCGACATGCAATGGAGAAAATTTATTTGTTTGTACATAAAGCGACACGCAATGGAGAAAAATTTTTTATTTGTACATAATCGGTTATCCAATAAATAAGTTATCCGAACAACCCCAGTCCCCAGTTAATTTGGATAAACGACGCTCTACTGTATTGGACTGTATTGATAAATACTAATTAGATATGATGACAAATGTGCAGTTTTGTTTTCAATTTTTTGCCATTGGACAGCACAGCTATGTCAAAATGAAACTACAGATCCAAAAATATAATTCAATATCTTTGTCCAATTCTATGAGGAATAATTTGTTTAATATCTGTTTGAAAAACTTACTGCAAGCTGATAAGTAGTTTCACTTTGCTATGTTACTGTTTGCTTCCATATGATTTTTAAGAGTTATTGCCAACTAAAATATATAGTAGAGCTAAACATTAAATATATCAGTTTAATTATTTAAAAAAGATTTTAAAGTATAAATAATATATTTATATATCATTAACTAGAGCAATGGCTGGTGGAACTACTGTTGCTGAAAATTATGCTTTTGCTGGAGTTCATCATATTTTTGATCAACATAAAGATGCAGGTTGGTTAATTTGCTTATTATGTAATAAAAATAATCATATTCATCATCCAATATAATTAATTTTTAATGTTGAAATATTTCTATTCTGAACTTAATTATAAACTGAAATATGGACTGTATCAATAAATACTAATTAGATATGATGACAAATGTGCAGTTTTGTTTTCAGTTTTTTTGCCTTTGGACAGCACGGCTATGTCAAAATGAAACTACAGATCCAAAAATATAATGAAATATCTTTGTCCAATTCTATGAGGAATAATAGATAAATAAATGAAAATTTCAAAATTGAAAGCTAAAATTAGATATTCAAAAACTGAATATCAATCAAGAAGCATTTAGAACATGTAAAATCTACAATTTACCAATATATAAATATTGAATCTCTTATTATCAGCAAAAATTTTATTATTAACAATGTACTGTATTTCTGGTCTAATTTATATCATCTTCAAAGTTTACCATCCTTTGAATATATTATAGAATTCATCACATCATAGAATGGATATTTGAAAGTGTGTTCTAACATATAAGGGAATTTGAAATTTAAAATGCAATAAATAATTTAAAAGTATAATAATAAATTAATAAATTACATAACAACAAATAACATTTTTTAAACATATGTAAAACATCAAGCGTGAAAGAGAAGAAAATAAAAATTATTGCTAGAATAAATGAGAACACACTAAACTGAATTGTGTTTTAACATATAATGCAAATTTTAAATGTAGAGTTTTGAAGGGGATATTCTCATCTATACCATAATCTCCATGCATTAGAGAATATTTCTTGTTACAGAGGTTGTATTAATCTTTGATATTAATTCAACTTCAGTAAGTTATCTGTCTTTGTATTTCAATCATTTTGGCTAATTCAGAATCTTTTATTGATTGTATTTTAGCTTCATCCCATATAATCTCATATTGAATTTACAGTATATACTGCCAAGGCTCTGTTATAATGCTTTAATTGTATGTCAGTCATTTTTTGTGTCACATCCAATGAATAGAGTGTATAACCAGTTTAGTGGATGCATGTATTGAAGTTTTTGTCATCCACCAAAATCTTGTATAATTCTTTTGATGTTGTCCTGTCTTTTCTGTTCCTCATTAATGCATACATGCTAGGATTTCACTAGTAGATTACATTGTATTTTACTTTGTTAGAGAGTGCTTTATATATAGTGTCCACCTCTTTGCTGCAAGTTAAAATTCTATTGTCTTTTTGTTGTATTAGATCTACATTTATTGTATGATGCTTATAAGTAGTGATTAACTACTTATAAGCATCATACAAGAAATGTAGCCTTTTTTTTTATTTCTTTATGGTGTCTGTGTTTTGTGGCCTGATTCTTGATTTGAACTAATTCTCTTGTAATGTCATTTATGTTGCAATATTAATCGTCACCTAAAATGCCACAACACATTTAACATAATGTTCTGTTGCAGCATATTAAATAGATGTTTGACAAAGTTATTGATATATAAAACCATAATAAAATGTATCCATTAATTAAAATAAAGTATAAGTTAAGATATCAGGTAAATATGATATACATGTATTGCTTATTTATTATAAAGTGTAATATTTAATGAACAATTTCAGAATTAAATTGTATACATCATCTGTTTAAATGATCCATTATGGTATGATGTCATGTGCTATCATACCATGAAATGATGATATATTAATATGGACATTGCATTTTGTTGACTGCTGATCTGAAAACTGCTATTTATTTATTAACTGACAGAGTTTACTCAGCATTGCTCTGGCAAAAGTAATAAGGGAAAACATTAAAATTAAAACCATATTAAGAGTTATTTTAGCCTGCCAATACCAGATATCCCTGCTGGTTTAATTATAAGTCTATAAATTNCTATTTTTGGATGGAATCCATCTTTTGCAGTCAGTTTTGGCTGCTTGTTTCAATCCATCCATTGTCTTTTTCTCATCACATTATTATAGAAGAACCATTTTCATCTCCAGTAACCTGCTGATCAAGAAAAGGTATTAAAGCAATACAGGATAAAAGACACAAGGAAATGTTTAAATGTTGTGATTAGCTATTTACAGTACCCATTTTCCTATCTTAGAAACTTTTCCAATCTTTTATAGGTTTCTACAAACAGTTCCATGGAATGAATTTAAAACATTTGCAATTTCATCCTTCTATTAACAATTTTTTTAATACTTGATTAAATGTCAATTTAATTGAATGTTTATATATTATTTTTATAGTAACAGCAGTAAAATTTGCAAACAACGACAAATCGCTATTAGCTTGCTGTTCTATGGATAAAACTTTGTCAATTTGTCAGTTAACTCCTCCACCTGCAAGTGTTCTATTTAAACTTAAAGGCCATACTATGGGTGTAACAGGTTTGTAGAAGTTTATTTGAATGTAAGATTATAAATTCATTTTCTGTTTGTTGTAATTTGTATTAAATATTTCACGACAAAGCATTGATAAATAAAATCAAAATAATGCCAAACGAACTGCCGTATCATTGAGCTATAATATATTAATAGATAACCCAATAACACAGCATAATATAATAAGTTAGCCTAGTAATACAGCAGATAGTGTGGCATTACTTAAATATTGGGTTTGTGGATGTATTGTATATATAAAATTAAAATAGTTTTGACAAATTTGATAATTAAAAAATCATACTAAATATTGTATTTTTAAAAAATTTTCATTAAGACATCATTGAATAATAAATAATTTAGAAGTTTTTTAACATTAGAATGTTCTAATTAATTAATACTTTTATTACATTCATAAACTTGTTTAAAATAATAAAATACGTTTTTTTTTTTATTTTTACATGTTAACTATCTGATCAAGCTATAATTTCAAACTTAATATCCTATATTCCCATATATAGTATAAATTAAAGATATATAATGGAAAAAAATGTGGTTTCATATTGAAAAGGGAGTGCTAAATAAATTGTTATTAAAAATTCAGCAGTTTTCCCTTTATTTTAAATTTGATATCATTATTTTTCAATATTAGGCGCTAGAATATTTTAATCATAAAATTTCATTTAGTTTTATAAATTTGAATATATTTGAATATATAGGGCAAGTCAAAAGTCCCTTACATCTTTTTTATTTCAAAAGTACTGAAGATATATTCATTTTGTTAATCTAGTTAGGATGGGATGCCTTTTATTGACCTTGAAAATTATTTTTAAGGTCACTTAAAACAATCGCTTTTATTCCTAATGAATTTGAAATTCAGTTTTTAAAAAGATTAATATCTTGAATATCTGTTTACACAATCCTGATTAAGAATTCAGAAAATAGTTTTAGACTAATTAAGTGGTGCTCCTTAACTTTGTATTGGTACTTTTATGCTGCATCTGCTTGTTAAAAATGTTACAACACAAGTGACCCTGAAAAAAGATTTTTAAGACTATTAAAAAGTACCATTGGATTCTCCCTGCATGACTTCTTATGTAACTACATTAGCAAATTTAATATATTTTCAGTACTTTTGGAATGAAAAATGTGCAAGGACTTTTGACTCAACCTGTATTATCTAGAGTTGTAGATTAAGTAGTTAAATTAATGTAGGATCTTAATTATCTGTTTCATTTTAATAAGGCAGATATTTTGTATTATGTAGTGATTTAACAAGTTACATCTTTACATAGCTTTTGAATGGTCTGCTTCAAACGATCTTGGAGTATCGTCGTCATTAGATGGAACGGTACGTCTGTGGGATGCCGCTAAAGGAACTTGCATTAGGACTGTCAACGATCCTGATAATGCTTCTGTTTACTGTGTTGTTTTTCAGCCATTAAATAATAATATGGTGGTTGTATCCTTTTTATTAATATTAAACAACATCTATTTTATTATTGTTTTAATAGATATTGTTTTTTTTTTTATTAAAAATTTATACTAACATAAAAGTAACTATCATTTTGTGAGCAGTCAAGACATTAAAATATATCCAGTACATTGTTTAATTAATTTATAATGGAATTAAAATTTAATAAATAAATATAAATATACAAAAAGTAATGCTTTAGATAGATAAAAGTGTCATTTATTAAAAAATTTTTAAGTTTAAATTGTCATTCTCAATACTGGATCTATCTATTTCATTTTTGTTACTTGTAATATAATATTTACCTAAAATTTCTTAACTAAAATTCAGACCGGTAATTGTAAAGGCCTTGTTCAAGTTTTAAATATTTCAACTGGAATATATCTTAAGGTATGGTATAATGTAACTTTATAATTGAATTATTGATGCAATTATAGTAGAATCTTGCTAATTCAAATTAACTGCAGTTCAAAGTTTTGGATTAGCAAGTATTTTAAATTATCTGAAATTCTTTTTCAATGTATTTTTTTAACCTAATGTGGGTTTTTCAATACACTTTAGTTGGATGAGTTCATTGTATTTTGTCAGGACAACTGACACCAGTCACTTTTTTTAAGAATTGACAAGCTTCAGTTCACTAATGTTGGGGTTTTCAATCTCTTTCTCCGAGATTGCAGGAGGAAGAAAGAGACTAGTTTTTGTTTTCTATTTTAAAGTAAATTTTTAATGTAATTTGAGAGTTTTCACACACCATCCATGTATTTTAGGTGATGTGAAGTAATTATAACAGTCATCTATTTCATTTAAAGAGAGAGAGAGAGAGATCCTTTTTTTTTTTTCTATTGCTTGGATTAGCCAGAATTTCAGACTCTTGAGGTTCAGGTTAGCAAGATACTACTGTATTGCTGAATTATTTGTTAGTGTAGTGTTCTTGGTTTTTTATGCAAAATTATCATTATAATTAAATGAATTAATTATTATTCATTCTCATAATATTATAATTATTATGCAGTTAATATTTCTTGTAAAGAATCTTAAGTTATAAAACATTCAAAATACTAAAGATTAAAAAATTACACAATAAGAGGAGATGTTAGTATTTCAATTGTAAATTTTGAAGATTAAAAATGCAAATAGCTTATTGATTATAAAAAGATTTTGAAAAAGAAAAAAATATACTGTATTTTAATTGAACATGGAAATGCTTAAAAACTTTTCTATTTATAACCAGTGAGATTAAATCTAATTTAATATGCTAAGTCATTAAAGAACCATGATAGATCCATTGCATTTTTAATTTTAACTGCAGCTGGTATTAATTTTTACATTGTAATTACAAAGCATTTTAAATGACATTTTTGTTTCTTTTCTGGATATGGTGTGGATTTATTTTGTTCCCCTGTTTGAAGCTTAATAACTTTTGTTCCTTTTGTCAACAATTTCTGAAATTTTTCAGGGAGGTTTGTGTATTAGGGGGTTTGATGCTGTTAAATTTTGGTGATCTGGAGATAACGGGAGTCGTGTGTATCTCCAGTAAGGTTAAACTTATTGTTGATTTTACTCATTATTATCATTTACAATGTTTTATAAAACCCATCCCTACTCTCAAAATTAATCTTTTTGCCATTTTATAATAGTTACAAAATAAAAAAAAAATTTTAAATAAAATATTATAACATATGGTGCCACTAATTGTTGCCTATAAAGTTAAACAGCTAGTTGCTGGATTTTTTTTTATTTATCTTGAAGAAGATTTTATTCTTATTAACATTTATACTCATATTTTTAATGTATAGTTTTCATTTGCCTACTTAACATATATATATATTTTAAAGCTTTGTATGTTTATTATTATTATTTTCAGTATATTCAATGCAATTACAGTAGAGCGTCGATTTTCCGAAAGTCAATCGTCCGAAACGTCAATCATCCGAAAGAATTCCAGTTGGCAAATTTAAATTTTCGCCAGTGCTGTGGCACTGCAATCTTTGGCTATGTCTTGGGCTATTCAAATATTTTACGTTTTTGATACTAAATTAACATCTGAAGTATAATTTTTTATTGTTTATATATTTTTCAATATATTTATTTTGTTTGTACAAAATAAAAAAATAATTTTTAACAATACAACAGTCTTTGTTAGGCTTAACATCGACGAAAATTCAACGCAAAACGACACGCAACAGATAAAAATTTTAACATCGATACGTTAAACTATTTTTTTGTATGTAAATCGGTTATCTGAAATATCAGTTATACGAACAACCCCAGTCCCCAATTGATTTGGAAAATCGACGCTCTACTGTATTTATTTATTTATATTTGAAATTTACTTAATATTTGAAACATCAAAAATCTTGACTATCAATTTTTTAACTTTGGAATCTTTCTCAAATTTGTAATGATGTGAATTTTGTCTTTTATTGTAATTGCACACATTGCTTCTAACATGTTAACTTCAGTCAGAAGTAATATTCTTCCTATTGTTGCTTTGAGGTTGAATATTTATTTTATAGATTTAACTTCTGTTTCTTCTGTTAACTTTTATGTTTGAAATGATGTGTTCATAGCCTAAAACAGAAAAATGTACAGTAAGATGATATACTTCAAATAAACAACAATCTACAATTAACCAGTAACCGGCGCAAAATTCTTTAAAATCGGCTTTAAAATGCCGATTTTAAAGAATTTTGCGCCGGTTACTGGTTAATTGTAGATTGTTGTTTATTTGAAGTATATACAACCCGGTGTGGTGAGAAAGTACATTAAGTAAGATGATATCTTACTGCAAAATGTTCTGTTTTAACTTATATTTTATTAAGTCTTACATACTATATAAGATGTTAAAACAGAAAATCTTTTGCTTCAATTAACCCATGTGCAAGACCTCTTGTTTCTATTTTTCTTCCCCTTAGTCAGTTTTTAAATTTTCAGCCTGGATTGATTTCTGTTCTTTTAATTTTTCTCCCCTTTCTTCTGTTTTACTGCAATCTGGCATTTTTTAATTGTTTGAGATTCCATCTGTTTTCTAAAACACTCATTTTACATGGTTTTGCTAATATCAAAAATATTCATTATACTCTGGAGTTTTTCAGTCTAAAAAAATTAACTTTTTCAATATAGAGTAACTAACTGCAATTTTTTTCTTTTATCCATAAAAGATTTTTTCATGATGCTTTTATTCTTCAGAATGAAAGATGCACAACTGTGAAATTCAATGTTTTTGAACATTATTCTAAAAATAGTATCATCAAACAAAATATGTAAATGAATGGAATTTCATTTGAAAATCGGCCCACCAGTGGCCAAGCGGTTCTGTTCCCTGAACACTGGGAGTTTGGTCTTGGGTTTGCACCTTGCCAAGACAAGCTGGCCAAATGGAATTTTCCAGGTTTTCTCCACATCTGTAATGCCTGAATAGAGACCAGTTACCCTTAAAAAGACCTCTTGGAAGGCAGATCGCTTAAGTGTTGTGTTGCCGTAACTTACTAAACAATCATTTGAAAATTAGTCTGTGTATCATAACAGAATATTATAATAAAAACACTAACCTTTATCTTCAGTTAATGTCTCATTTGTTTATTTTTCTAGGGAGGTAGTAGTAAAACAACTGGAGGTGTACTGTCTTTAGTATTTGATTCAAGTGGCAAATTGTTATGGGCAGCTGATGATAGAGTGAGTAGAATATATTTGATATTTAACTTTGTTTTATTTATTTAAGTACTAAGTTGTTTATGGTACTTTGAATGAACATCCTGTAGTGTAAATTTGATATATAACTTACACCTATAACATCAAGATAATTTTTTTTTTCACTATATTGTTTTGTATAAGTTTAATTTCAAATTTTAATACAAAATTATCTTATTAATTCTAATAAAATAGAATATTTTAATAAGTAATTTTGAAATTATTGTATATAAATCATAATAGAAGGTAAGATTTTAAAATTTTTTATTTTAGGGTTATATAGTTTCATACATATTTGATTTTCCAAGTGGAAGATTAACCAAAGGTAGAAGGTATGCTGAATAATAGTCATTGAATTTTTGTCTTTATGTTTTTAAATATATTATTTCATATTAATGTCTTGTGTTACATGTGAAAAAATTATTTTTCTTTAATAACATTGTTATTAAATTGCACATGACATTTTTGCTTGGTTGGTAATTTAGTTGCAAGATGATGAAATAGATAGATTAATAAGGAAATTCTATTTAAATTACTATAAAAAGTGCTTTATAAGACTTTTTTTGGCATCTTACTCTGAAGAATATTTTTTTTCCAAAAAAGTTTACATGTAAAATGTATTAATTAATTATTTAATTAAATTATGACATGTAAAATATGATGTGTCCAATATAATGAACATCTTATAAGATAAAAAATATGGTAATTTTATACAATTTGTGAAATTTTTATAAATTTCAAAGATAATGACTAATATTACTATAATTAAAATTTAGGTTAAAAAATATATTTTTGAACTTTTACTATTTTATACAGAATTGAAATTAAACTAATTATTTTTAATATAATATCAGGATGCTTGTGGTGGAAAATTGTCCAATTACTAGTCTGTCCGCTAGAAGCTGGGTCAGCAGAGAAGCTAGAGATCCCTCACTCTTAGCAAATTGTGCTTCTGATACTTTACTACTTTTCAGGTTCTAAAATCTTTTTATAATACACAAATTTTTACTTATTTATATTTTTGAATTTTTATTTTATTTTAAGTTTTATTTACATTTATGAAATTAATAAATAAGTAAAATCAAATGAGTTTACATTCTTTAAGACCAATATGTGCAATATGTGTATATATGTGGTTTGCTGGCACAAACATGCACATATATACATGTACATGTTTGTGTTACTAGTGTAGCCCTAGTCTATGTATATATATTACACTGGTCTCCTAGTGTAATATATATACATACACACTAGCAACCTCCAGAGATCTAACTTCAATGTTTCATGTTATTTTGCAATGTATTCTACATTTTTATAATTTAAAGATTAAATAACTTTAAATATAAGAAATTTCTAAATATCAAAAAATTTTAATTAAAAAATAATTGATAGTAAAACAGTAATAATAATAAATATCTTCAAAAATAGATAGATAGATAGATGATTCTTAAAATCAGGTATCTAAGTTAGTTGCCATTTTGTTTTATAGGTATCAAAAAGCTAAATTTTGATGTTTAATATCATGTAAAATATTTTACTCTGGAGATTTTACATTTTTCTAGTAACAAGCTCAACATTTTCTTTCAAGCATACTATCATACTATACTGTTCTGCTTCCACTCAGAAATTTTATGTCAGTGAATGAGTGAGGCTAATGTAGTCTTATATATTATATATGTCAGGTCAATCCATAAGTTTTTGCATATTTTTATCTATAGAAAAACAAGAAAAAATTTAAATTAAATTTTATTTCAATTTCTTAATGTATTCACCATTATTTTGTATATGCTGCCATCTTGATGGTAGTTTTTTAATCCCATCTTTGTAATATGATATTGATTTTTAGGTTTTGAACCAAAATATTCAGAAATAACATTTTTGACACTATTCTCATCCTCAAAAATTTCTCTTTTAAAAATTTCTGCAAACCATGAAAGAAATGATAATCACAGGGAGCAATATCTGGCAAATACAGTACATGAAGTAAAATTTCCCAGTTGTAGCTTTTGAGATTTTGTACATTTATTCTTTCAGCATGTGATCTGACATTGTCATGATGCAAGAGAACCTGCTTTCTGTTAACTAATGATGGTCAACTTTTTTAAAATTTTTTATTTAAATGCTCTAATTGCTAACAATAAATTTGACTTGTAATTGTTTGATCTGGTTCTTATAGCTCAAAATGAATTACACCTGACATATCCCACCAAACATACAAAAGAACTATTTTTGGATGGAATCCATCTTTTGCAGTCAGTTTTGGCTGCTTGTTTCAATCCATCCATTGTCTTTTTCTCATCACATTATTATAGAAGAACCATTTTCATCTCCAGTAACCTGCTGATCAAGAAAAGGTATTAAAGCAATACAGGATAAAAGACACAAGGAAATGTTTAAATGTTGTGATTAGCTATTTACAGTACCCATTTTCCTATCTTAGAAACTTTTCCAATCTTTTATAGGTTTCTACAAACAGTTCCATGGAATGAATTTAAAACATTTGCAATTTCATCAACTGTTAAAGATGGTTCTGCTTCAGCTAGTATTCAGAGTGCATCATCATCAAAGTCAACCGGTCTTCCTGTACAAGCATTATTTTCCACACTAAAATCATTGTCTAAAACTTTCAAGCCACATCCACACAGTCCTTACACTAATTGACCTGCAATTTGAAAAAAATTGTAAATGTATAAATTCCCACTGTCATCTGTCCAGCTGTCTTTCTTTAATCTCAAGAATGGAGTTAGATAGTTGAAAGATGAAAACAAGATATGAAAACCTTAGGAGGCCTTGATTAACTATACACGAACGTCCAATGAAAACCAGAAGTCACATTATTTCAATTTAAAACTTTTCCCTGAAAGCAGTTAATAGATGACTGGCATGACTCCAATGTTAAAGGAAAAGTATGTTATACAGGGGCAAGACACTACAGTACTAATTTGAGGAGGAGAGCCAGGCATTGTGACAATGTCACAATAAATAATTGCTCATTATAGTTTGACTATGTACAGTAATTATTTTTATGTTGCATTTGTAGCATTTTCATCACTTAAAAATATAAAATATAAAGTAAACATATCTTTTATATTCATCAGTAACTTCCCATTTTAATGAAAATAAACAACTAAAATGTTACCAATTCTCAACAATATTATATGAACCAGATCTGATTTAACACTGTAGTGTAAAAATTATTCTATTACACTTGAACTTTTAATAAGAAAACAAGATTTTTCTCAAGGTCATATAAGGTTTCACTATAGGAATATGTGGTAGTTTTTATCTGTTAAGGTATGGATTCATTTGATTTTTCTTTTATTTATGCTAATTACATAAATGAAAATAACCAAATATATATATAAGTTGCCAAACAATTGCCAATATATGTATAAATAGCCAAATACTTTTTTTTTTATGTATAAAATGTAATCACGTATATAAATTAATGTAAGTAAAGAATTTATATATGTATATATATATTTATTCTAGCATTTGGTTATTTTAGAATTTATTTTTAAATACTGGTGAATATATAATGATAATTATTTGGTACATATTTATAATTGATTTTTTTATTATAAAGTTGTTATAGTCGATATTTAATTGAAAGATTATAAAAAAATATATTTTCTGTTTTGTGATGTTTTACAGTATTAACAGCAAAGATGGAAATTTAATATTGAAAAGGAAATTTCCAGTCAAGCATAAATCTAATTTAAATATAAAAAGTTGTTTTTGTCCAATTATGTCTTTTCGACAAGGAGCATGTGTTGGTAAGTACTTAAACATGTAAAATCTTAATTATCATCATTATTCCAATATAACAATAAATTTATTATTGTTGTTATGATAAGTGGAGCTAGCTTTAAAAATAAATGAGCGCCCAACAGGGTATCAAAGAAAGAGGTGCAAAATATTCTGAAAGTTAAAACTTAGATTATAACTTACATTACTTTTCTTACAATAATTTTTTAATAGAAAACAGACATATATACATATAATTTTCACTCATTAAAATTGAAATTTCTACAAAATTAGAAAGTTTGAGAAACACACAAAAATTCTTGTATGGAATGCTGATGAGATTGAAATCAGTGCTAACAATAAGTATAGTTTTAAAAATTTTGCAGTATGTTAATATTATTTCTTTATTATTTTGTATTTAATTTTTGAGAAAGGACTAAGAACTTCAAAAGTAAAAAAAAAGAAAAGGGATGATAATATTTAAACTAAAACATACTTTATTATATATTTAATAAATAGAATATTCAGTAGTTAAAAGATAATGTTAAATTGCAAACTGAAATAAAAATAAATTTTTTGATGTTAAGTAAACATTATTTTTAACAAGTAGATGTAGATAAAATAATGTTTATTTAACACAAAAAGAAAAAAAGTTATTTTTACTTCAGTTTACATTAATTATGTGAAGTATGCCTTTCCCATGTTAATTCATATGTAAACTGTTAGTGTCAGAAAATATTTTAACATCTGAAATCTGATTTAGAATACAATAAAAAACTAACTAAATATAATATACAATGTTTAGATGAAAGTTATGGCTGGCTGGGAGCCATTTAGGACATATTGGATGTTAGCAAAGTGATTTTATTAACCAGTATGACTCCAGTCAAACCTTTGGTTTTGAATGCCTCACTTTTGAACAATTTGGTTTATGAAAAAAATTTTGAACACATTTGCCTTGGTTGCTGAACAAGCTACTTGACAACAGATGGTCACAAATGAGGGAGAGAGAGAGTAATGGTCAACTCAATATACTTCCTGTATTAAAGAAAGTTGACAGGACTACCAATTCAGAAGTTAGTGGCACTGAGATTGCCTTCCATCATTAAATGTCATGACATAAACCATCAATGACATTGTTATTCAAATTGGATTTAAACGTGCATACATGTAAGATACTATTACCATTAATAAAAAGCATGTTAATTGACATTTGTGTAATATAAATGAGTCACAAATCTGTGTTTAAAGGTGCTTAACTCAAGTTAAATAACAAAAATTTATTAATATAGTAATATTATAATATTAATGTTTAATTTAATATTTATTAATACTAGGTAATCTGATGGTAATAAAAATATATCATCATTTTTTGATGCATAATTACGTTTTGATACAGCATGGTTCAAAATTTGATTATTTTGAAAAGTAAACTGTAGAAACAAAGCTGATGATTAAATTTATGAATGTTAGAAAGATGCTAGAATACAAACCATTCAAAATAACAATAATACTAAAAAATTCCTTCATGAGCAATGTCTTATTTGTAAAAAAAAATTGTTGAGATAATGTTATGATAATTTGTGTTTATGTAATTACCTGAAGCATTTTTCGAAAACAAAAATATTTGATGGAGGACATCTTAGTTTATAGGGTATAAGCATTTAAAATTTTTTTACTTATTTTTATTTATTCTGAGAAATTTAACTTTTATCATTTATACAAATATTCAAAATGATGGTTTATGTTAATGATGAAAATTGCTTTATCTATAGATGTATGTATCATTGTGGTGAGGTGTAAATGACATCCACATAAATGTAGCTTATTTCTGTACTTCTCATAGCATAAATAATTGTCTCTAAGAGACTTGCTTCAGTACTGCATTCTATACCAATTCCCCAAATTTTAATATTTATGAATCAAGTAAAATGTATCAAAAGTAAAAAAACAATCAACATAAGAAAATCAAATGAATTTAGTCAAAATATGATATTAAGAATGTATCTCCGTAAGTTTATATATTTATTTTTGTTCTGGGACAGTTTGAGGTAATTTCAGACATATGGAAATGAGCAGTATGTTATATCAAAATGTCCACCCAGACACTTTCATTGGGGTATACTTTGAACTATGATAACTTGTGATAAGCCCATTGATAACTTGTGCCTTGCCTTAGACAAAACCAATTACTTTACTTTATTAAAATTGCTATACATGTGCTATAAGTATTTTTAATTTCATATTAAGTAATATATAATATGAAATTAAAAACACTTTCAGTATATATATTTCAGTATACATATATATATAGTATAGAAGATTTATTTAGAACTGATTAATATTAAACTAAGTATCCCACTTTTTATCATTAATGTAATAATATGATATCTGTCCATAAAACTAAAGATGACTTATAGTATAGTAATTATGTTTCTTTAATTATTTATGCACCAAATAAATATAAATCTTCATTAAATTTTAGTTACTGGTAGTGAAGACATGTGCGTTTATTTCTTTGATGTGGAGCAAGAAAATAAACCGTGCGTCAATAAGTTGCAGGGTCATTCTGCACCAGTATTGGATGTTTGTTTTAATTATGACGAGAGCCTTCTAGCATCTAGCGATGCACAGGGTATGGTCATCATTTGGAAGCGGGAGAAAAGACATTAACTTATTTACTATACTGTACATTGGAAGGAATATATATATATATATATATTTTACATCGGTAAAACTTATTCATTTATATGAAATAAAATAATGTAAATAAAGTCTAATCGAAACTTTATCTGCATATTGAAAGTGTATTTGTTCTCTACATTTATTTATTTTACATACAATATAGGATATAGACAAATAAAAACCCACCTCCCTTGATACAGCACAGAAAAAATCTTTATAAAATATAGGATCTTCCAAAAAGAACGGTACTATTTTAAATTATTGTAATTATGTTAATTATAATCTGAGAATGTTGTAACGCACATTAAAACATTGGAAAACTGTTCAAATTTCACATTTGCCTATTACAGTTTCTCAATGGCTATACCTCACGTCGCATATCCACCCCATACTCAAATTCTTCCTACATTTTGCTACATCATATTTATTGTCACTCCTTCCATAGCAGCCACAATTCTACAGCTCCTGCATATTACTCATTTTGCGCAATGATGAGTGATTCCAACTTTGAAAACTGCAGAACACACAATGCTTCCCAAAGGTAGACAATAAGACGAAATACAGACAGTTACTCTATGGATTGGTGTACATTGCATACTTCTCAGATAATAATTAACATAATTACTGTAATTTAAAATGGTAGAATTAATTTCGGAAAACCCTGCACACAGAGTAAAATCAATGCAATGTAGATTAATTCTAAGATAATTAAATTTTCGAAGATAACGATCAATTGAATGTTCAGTGAAGCAATTTGTAAGGTAATGACTCCATAATTTAATATGAAAGGTGAAGTTTAAGTTTGCAAAAATTACACTCAATCCTTTATTGATATTTATAATTTTATTTATTTATTTAAAATTGAAAGTATTGTGGATAGATCGGCCACAGAATAATCTCGTGCATAAAATATGCGACTTTCAGGACCAAATTCCTTTTTTTAATTAATCATATGTAAATTTATATATAACACGATTCTATCTCTCCCTCGATTTAGAGAATCTTAACATTTACAGCTGACAAATTATATATTCAGAATAAATACGGAGGTGTAGCTAGCAAAGGAAAAGCGGGCGCTATGAACTTTTCTTAAGAGCTGTTATTGACATTGAGAACGTTTTTAAAAAATCGCTGCTTCATTCATCGTTGTGTACTGTTAAAACACGAGCATCTGTATTATTATTATTATTACGTGAGCCGAAAATTTACGATACGCCTATGTCTAAATGTTATGTAAATTTTTTAAAGGACATTCGTTTTCTGAGAATAGGGCGAAGGCGCATGATTGATTGCTTAATTTATTCTGTCGAGTTTCCTCCCGTTCTCGTGGCAAACAAACCCAATTATCCTCTGGTTTCGTTTAATATTCGTCTGTCGAATTTTGTTCTTTAATTAATTCTTTCAGACAAGAGTTTTTTTTATTCTTAAATATTATTTTAGTACACTTTTTTCTAATTTGCATATAACACAAAACGTCTGTGTGGTGAACCTTTTTTTCACGCGATTTTTTTATGGTAATATCAGTGGCGCTTTATAGATTCGTGGGGCCCCAGGCAAATTTGAATTAGGGGAGCCCCGTGAACAGTGTTGACTTGAAAAATTCTTTTTCGGGAATTTTGTGGGGAATCCCACTTTATCCTCGTTCGTTTTTTAATGCCACCAGTGCACTCTGCGCCACATCGGTAATCTAGGGTCCCCAGACATGATCCAAATTTAAATTTCGATATTCTTAGTACAGTAATGAGTTTATAAAAGACTGGTGGGGACCCAAGCAATTGCCATTTTTCCCCCATAGGATAACGCGCTACTGGATAATAATAATTTCTTAATTAAGTATGCCTAATTCCTATGAACTGCTTTAGTAACTTTTTCTAAACTAAAACTAAAATAAAATAATAATAAATATCTATTTTAATAATTAACAATGAAAAGACTATAAAGCGNAAATATACGTATTTTGGAAATGTTGAGTCGAATTAGTCTAGAATCGATTGATTTTATGAAAGAAAACCTTTCAAACAGCCGTAGTCCGTAAACTATGATTCCTACAAAATTGATTCATAAAGAACGGAACGTATCTACCGTCTTATAGGGGGATCTACTGTATATATATATGCTTGAAATGCATGATAGATTTGCATGTAAAATGTTACTACAAATCTACAATAAATAATTTGTAAATCTTAAACCTTATCTTATGATGATAAAAGTTTATTGAAAGATCATTTGTACCTTTTATCACTACATACTAGCTGTTATATAGGATACGTGATATGAGTACGAACATTGCATTGGAAAATGGGATGTCACCAAATATCATAATAATTCCGCTATAAATTGAAAAAAAAACAATAAAAATATACAAAAAAGTTTATGTAGAAAAGTAATGAGTTTATAAACGATTGGTTTGAGCAATTGCCCGGAGTCCCGTTGGTGGGGGACCCCAGGCAATTCCTCTTTTTTCCCACAGGATAACGTGCCACTAAACACCAGTAGTAAGTCGCGGCTTCGCGCTTCTCCAACGTGCTGGCCTCGTGTTTTTACATGTTTTTGTGTACAGTACTTCACGTATCTAACACTTAAATGAGATCAGTTTCCTATAAGACGTCCTACCGGGAGGCATTCTCCTTGGCAAATCGCCCAACGTACTACACTTTGCACCAATTGTTCCATCCTACTTGTTCCATCAATTTCCTCAAAATCTCCCTTGACCAAGCCCGATATAGGTAGAAGCTGTGAGGAAAAAAAAATAACGTCTCACAAATTGTTCATAAAAAAATTATGATGATTCAAATACAAATTTCTCATTCATTAATCGGACTTCATTTTAAGTCATTTATAGCTTAACATCAATGTTGTGTTTATTATTCTATAAAAGAATAAGAAAACATTATAATTAAAAACATAACAGCGAATAATTACAAATGTTTTAATAATTAAAGTCGGCAAAAATAACAAATATGATTCCTTTTTTTTCCGATTCGTGCTCACTCACGGAGGTTTTTTTTTCCATATCCATTGAGGCTTCGTCCGATTTTGGACCGACAGGATTGTAAGAAACTGAACCCGGTATATTTATCATTCATGAAGAATTTTCAGGTTGATTCGCACGGATTCGATTCAAGATTCCCCAGAGCGATACGACGACGTTTTTAAAAACAGCCTCGGCTGTCTGACCGTCGAAAGATTTAACTCATTAAAACAATAAATATACCTAATCTACGGATATTTATTTGCGCTTAATTAATCGAGCAATATTAAACCAATTTAAACCTTTTCCTGACCGAAAATATCAATCCGCCATTTCTATTTGAAATTAAAGTTTGAATTCGTTTCACCCAAACAAATTTATATATTTTTNCTTTATTATTTTGTATTTAATTTTTGAGAAAGGACTAAGAACTTCAAAAGTAAAAAAAAAGAAAAGGGATGATAATATTTAAACTAAAACATACTTTATTATATATTTAATAAATAGAATATTCAGTAGTTAAAAGATAATGTTAAATTGCAAACTGAAATAAAAATAAATTTTTTGATGTTAAGTAAACATTATTTTTAACAAGTAGATGTAGATAAAATAATGTTTATTTAACACAAAAAGAAAAAAAGTTATTTTTACTTCAGTTTACATTAATTATGTGAAGTATGCCTTTCCCATGTTAATTCATATGTAAACTGTTAGTGTCAGAAAATATTTTAACATCTGAAATCTGATTTAGAATACAATAAAAAACTAACTAAATATAATATACAATGTTTAGATGAAAGTTATGGCTGGCTGGGAGCCATTTAGGACATATTGGATGTTAGCAAAGTGATTTTATTAACCAGTATGACTCCAGTCAAACCTTTGGTTTTGAATGCCTCACTTTTGAACAATTTGGTTTATGAAAAAAATTTTGAACACATTTGCCTTGGTTGCTGAACAAGCTACTTGACAACAGATGGTCACAAATGAGGGAGAGAGAGAGTAATGGTCAACTCAATATACTTCCTGTATTAAAGAAAGTTGACAGGACTACCAATTCAGAAGTTAGTGGCACTGAGATTGCCTTCCATCATTAAATGTCATGACATAAACCATCAATGACATTGTTATTCAAATTGGATTTAAACGTGCATACATGTAAGATACTATTACCATTAATAAAAAGCATGTTAATTGACATTTGTGTAATATAAATGAGTCACAAATCTGTGTTTAAAGGTGCTTAACTCAAGTTAAATAACAAAAATTTATTAATATAGTAATATTATAATATTAATGTTTAATTTAATATTTATTAATACTAGGTAATCTGATGGTAATAAAAATATATCATCATTTTTTGATGCATAATTACGTTTTGATACAGCATGGTTCAAAATTTGATTATTTTGAAAAGTAAACTGTAGAAACAAAGCTGATGATTAAATTTATGAATGTTAGAAAGATGCTAGAATACAAACCATTCAAAATAACAATAATACTAAAAAATTCCTTCATGAGCAATGTCTTATTTGTAAAAAAAAATTGTTGAGATAATGTTATGATAATTTGTGTTTATGTAATTACCTGAAGCATTTTTCGAAAACAAAAATATTTGATGGAGGACATCTTAGTTTATAGGGTATAAGCATTTAAAATTTTTTTACTTATTTTTATTTATTCTGAGAAATTTAACTTTTATCATTTATACAAATATTCAAAATGATGGTTTATGTTAATGATGAAAATTGCTTTATCTATAGATGTATGTATCATTGTGGTGAGGTGTAAATGACATCCACATAAATGTAGCTTATTTCTGTACTTCTCATAGCATAAATAATTGTCTCTAAGAGACTTGCTTCAGTACTGCATTCTATACCAATTCCCCAAATTTTAATATTTATGAATCAAGTAAAATGTATCAAAAGTAAAAAAACAATCAACATAAGAAAATCAAATGAATTTAGTCAAAATATGATATTAAGAATGTATCTCCGTAAGTTTATATATTTATTTTTGTTCTGGGACAGTTTGAGGTAATTTCAGACATATGGAAATGAGCAGTATGTTATA